TATCAGCTCCATTGTTTAGGTACCAAAGAAATGGTAGTTGTCTGGCTACTTCAGCCTGTATTTCATTAGAACCCTTGGGTGAATACCATGGAGCCTAGGCAGTATGTTAATTTGTGTGTTTGTACCATAGGTTCTTCTATAGCTACTTCCATTTTAAACCAAATCTGTGCTTAGTGACTTAATGACTTAGTTGTTTAGTCAGTTGATGACGCTTTCCCTGGTAACAGCATTTGCTGTAGTGAGGTGTGTTCTCTGGCACTGCGCTTCCTACAGGATACCCTTCAGTAGTCTCTACTCCTGCTTGGATGGATCCAATTGTTCTAGGAGTCCCTTCTGGCTTTTTTAACAGTCATCCTCATTTTTATATACTTCTACCTTCTGAAGATTAGCACAGCTGTGGTGATTTTTCTTGCCCTTTGTTGTTCGTGCAGCATATTGATTTTTAAGTACACGGTAGTTGCTACTTCAGTGGCACTTTCACTCTGAGGTCTTGGAGAGGTGCTATGTGTTCCTCAGTGCAAGCATGTCATGGCTTGTCGTTCCTGTTTTGTGATGATAACCATGAAACAACCTCTGATCTAAAAAAATCAGTGCAATCTAAATAATGTCATATTTATGATGTTTGTTCCATCTATATAATGTCTAATACAATTGAATGCTCTGATGTGTTAGCAGGTGATGCCTCTGTTGCGATTGGTGTCGCTGTCATGGTGGGGCAGGTAGGTAGCAATGTGCAGCAAAACTTCGTATTTCTGTCTGGAATTTCAATCCATGCAGCTTGTCTGCAAGTCTCCAAAATGGTAGTTTGTTACTTAGACTTGATTTTAAACTATCTTTTTAATACATAGTTCTGTTTTACACCTAGCACAGTTTACTGTATATTTTGTGTCCCCAGCCTTTCTTTCACAAAGTCTACAGTATGTTTGGTATATTAGTGTTTTTATTTAGGACAAGAAATTGATCTAAACTGGTCCTTTGAATTTTCAATTCCTGTTATAACCCTGAAAGTATAAATAATGCATTCTGCATTATTAATGCATTTCATAAATATTGAGACATAGGCATTAATAATTTGATAAAATTAAGCATTTAAAACATAGTTTGAAATGTAATTGTATGTAAAATTAAAGTTACAAAAGAAAAAGTGCCACAGAAAGGAACAAAATGAAATGTCTTATGTGCTGTATGCTAAAAGAGCTGTATAGTACATGCTGTTAATGCAGAAATGCGGTGATGTAGAAATATGCAAATGTGTACTTTTTCCAGCTCTTCTGTTGAAAGCCTGGAATAATAAAATGGAACAAATAGCTGAACAGAGCAGCCAGAATAGTAACATTAGAATTATATACTTGACAGAACATTTTTGTGTCCGTGTATATCCCTCTCATTTTAAGGGGAAAATAATCTGGTTTATTCAAAAAAGAAAATGGCATTTTCTCTTAATTAGGAATAAAAAAAAAAGCACAAATTATATTATCAGCATTTCTTCCTCTGGATCTCTAGTATCTCTAGTATTAGGTGACTCTGGTACCAACAGGTCAGGATTCCACAGTTATTTGGATTTGACCTCTAAAACAAAATAAGACCTTTAGGGCAGGAGTAATGTCTTTATTCAGCATCTAGCACTAAATAGACTCTCAACATGACACCACAGTAAAAATAATAATAAGCACATAAAGAGAACCTTTGCAATTTTCATGATTGCTTCTTTGCCCTTTGTTTTCTGTCTGTCCTCCTATGAGAACCTACGCAAATCATTTGGCCTTTTTTGGATTAATTTTATCTAAATTTAACACCCTGAACAATTTAGAATTATCCTAGTAGGATTTGTAGAGAGCATTCTCTACCTATACAATTTAGTAATGGTGTTTTGAAGCAGTTACCCTGAGCATGAACTAGGGATGCCTGGTTAAAGTTCCTTAATCCGTGCCTCAGAAGACTTCTCAGCTGATCTGTGGAATTTACTGAATACTTAAGATTAACCATCCTCATTTCAGTGAACAAGCTCCAGGAAGCTTGCAGTTTAAATAATGTGAATAATGTAAGTAAGAACTGTCTTCCAGTACTACTGGTTCTACTCTCTGCCCCCCAAATTCTTTGTTTGAAATTCAGCAGCTGAAGCAAATTAAGTCCTTCCATATTTCTGTATTGTCAGAAGGAATTAAAAACAGAATTATGAATGCAGGAAATAAGCTGCTAAAATATGTAACAAACTGTTTCAAGACTTTCTAATTGTCTTATTTTATAGATATGTTCCATTAATGCATGAGGAAATCTTCAGTAGCGCATAGGAACAAGCAGTTACTTCATGCTTAATTTATGTAGCATCTTGAGAGAGTCTATTTTAATAGTAAAAAAAGTGAAATGCTTTCTTTAATGCCAAGATACAGCAAATGTAGTATGTGCCCAGCCAAAGATGATAATTTTAAACCTATTAGATACTGAATATAGTGTTTACTTTGTATACTTTCTGGTTACAGCTTTACTTTGAATTTCTCAGAACATTTATACAGCTGTAACACTTGCTCTTAGTTTTACTGTGAAACTTGCCTATTCTTTGCTCTTCTCAGGAAAATGTAAGTGAAGAATCCAGCAGCATTACCAGTTGACGTTAACAAATTACATTTTTGTGTGTGTGTGTATTGTATTTGTAACTCTTGAAATTTGCCTCCCAGATAGTGCACATGTTTGGTTTTTAAATAATTTAGTAGATGCAAAAATTAAAGTTTTTGTTGATGTACTGATTTCTCTGCTTTGGTTTATTTTAATAAATCCCTACTTTGAATATTTTTATCACCATTGCTTATTACTTTGAATTGACCCCTTTACAATCACAAGAACCATCAGGACCTTCTCCAGGAGAGAGAATCTAGAAGTGTGTTAGCAGTCTAATACACTTCTGCTTTGTTTCTGCCCTCCCTCATGAGGTTCTTTATTTGGAAATTGTTAGGAATATTTCTTCTTTGTGCACATTTCAAGAGTTATTCCAGGCTTGTCCAAACTGTGCAGTTAATGATGCCGTTGCAGTAATGTCAGGAGAGCGGCTGAGTGATAAGGTTGTTCATTATAATGTCAGGAGGAGAAGGGGGGACCTTGCTGCCGGGACAGCAGTGCCAGACAGTGTTAGCGTGTTCAGTCAGAAACAAGCACATTCCAACTTCACAGGGTACTGCGCAGCGCATGATTATGCTTGACAATGGTCTCTTTCTCTCCCCGTTTCAGTTTAGAGGTGAATAAAATGCATCTAGGTATGGAGTATGATGATTATATGCAGTTCTTTACAGTGCTGATTTAAAAACGTTCACCTTTAAAGTGACGAATCGGAGAGCATCTGATCACACCCTGAATGCTGGTAACAGTGCAGTGCACAACTAGAGACTGACACTGGAACCTTACGTGTAGGAAGCAGTCTCAAAAACAGAGCTTGTGTTAAAATTCCAGAAATCCTCACCGTAAAAAGACAGGCTCCATTTATTCATCCGGCTGCTTTTCTTTTCAGGCAGGTTTTCTTTTCCTGGCTAAGGTTGGTATTTCCATATAAGAGGTGTTTAAAAGGTATGATACTTGGTGAAGGCAAACACGTTCTTTATCAGTAGTCATCCTCACTGCCCTAACATAGGAGAGACTCAGTATAACTGAGCTTCTGAATGATGTCTTTAGTCAGTGACTAAAACCAGAATTCCGTTGCTTTCACTGGGCTGTTTCACCCCTGTGCTGCTGCTCTGATACGAGCAGTTGTGGATAAAGTTGTTGGAGTGATGGAGTTCTGTCATCTGTGCACTTGGTTAACTGTGAGCACGTAGGAGTTGTCATGTGAATTAAACCTTAGTTCATCTAAACATGTGCGTGACAAGGATCATCTCAGTACTAATAGACTAAATCCAAGCACGTAGGAGTTGCCATGTGAGTTAAATATATAATTGTCTAAGCTGGTACTAGTCTTTAGTTGTAGCCAGGGACTTAAACTGGAAAAGAAAATACAGGCATTGCATAACCACAAGAGATGTATTTATAACTGTTTGCTTATGATTTTTTTCCCTGGAAAATTAGCATCTGTCCATATTCCATAATTTGAGGTGTTCTGTTGTTTGTTCCACTTCTTGCGTGCATGTAGTTCAAAGCAGAAGTTCTCATGTTGGTGCAAAAATATTAGGAGCATTTCTAGAACCTGTGCACTGCAATGAATAGGCAATTTTGTTAATCTTTCTAGTCATCAGTTCAGGTGTGAATTCTGGTAGTATTTTTCCCCACATGAGAGTCTAGCCCTTGGGAACACTACGAAATTACGGTTATGGATTATAAAACATAGATGAAGTTGGCAAGGTTTTTGAGAAATGTGCAGAAATAACATTATGCCAAACTAAGTTAAGTTTTCTTTTTTAAATCTGTGCTTCTATATATTTGGGATGTTTCTTTGTCTCCAAAATTATGTGTTTGTTTAGTGACTAAGCAGCAGTATTAGTTTTATCACTGGTGTAGGAGTCTTTCCTGCTTACTGCTGCAAAATATCTCCAGACTCTTCCTAAGATGTGGGAACATCTTATCTACTCTATCAAATGTATTGCCATGTCTATTTTCTTTTATAGTATTGATCTGGGGGTAATACAAATGGCAATTGGTAGCTGCTTTAGCTTCTACTTGTTGCTGTCATCAGCGTTTTCTTTCAGATTGCACTAAAGGTAGTATTTTTTTTGAGCACACTTTTTACTTTCCTTCTTAGTTTTTTTCTGGACTTTTGATAGAGTTTTTGATGATTGAAGGTCCTGCAGAAAAGCCAAGCAGTTGTGTTTTCATTGCATTTGTCATTGTGGTACATACGGTAAGGCAAGGATTTTATTTACAGCTTGTATTTCTTATATTTATTGGGAAAAATAAAAATTTAGCTGCTGCTTAGATTATTTCAAATTAGTTGCTAAAAATTTAATGGTATAAAATTAATCTGTGCTCTCTCATTGAAGTCAACAATTTACTACAGAGGAATATTATTTTAATTAATTTCATTTTGTTAGTTTTTACTGACAAAAAGATGGATGATTATCTAAATTTGTTGCATGAATATTCCCACCAAGCTTTATATTAATGTTTCCAATTTCTGTGAATGTTTGTGAAACTTTCCTGGAGATGATGCCTTTGTACGTTCACCCCTCAATGTCTCTAAGAGACAGTTTAGGCAGGAATTGTGTTATAAAGACAAGGAAGACTTTTCATTTTGTTTTTATTAATCTCCTGGCAATGATCAGTGGAATTCTTTCCACATCTGATACAATACATGAAGTAATACTTGCGTAGGCATTAACCTTTCTCTTTCAAGAATAGGCTGTAGATATGCCCAAGCAGGACCATTCTGGACTTGGTTTCCACCTATGCTTACCTTCTCCAGGCTGTGATCTGTACAATATATTTTTTCTGGTGTTTCCCTACATCCTCTTCCCATATACTGTTGAGCTCCTTAGGTATCCTGGGCCACATAGCAACCTTCCTCTATGCTGAATCCCATGCTAAATTCCACATCCACTCCTTTTCAGGCATGTCTCCAGATTACGTGGATTCCTGACTGGTGTTTCATCAACATACTAGTTACAGTCTCCTGGACAGTCTTCTCATCTGCAAGTTAATAAAATAACCTGAATCGGTATCAGAAGAACCAAAGTCCATGTGATAATCAAGGTATCTGAACTTCCTTGACTACACAATTTGTCCTTCCATCAGAGAGGCATGTTGTTGCCTGGTTTTAATTATCTTAAATTTAATTATAATATATTTTAGTTATGTAGAACTGGGACAATAGTAAAGGACAGAAGTTCAGCTGGAGAGACAGAATTTTCTGAGGAACATGGGCAATGAAGAACACTTTTAGAATGGGAAAAACCCTAATATTAATCTTAATTCTAGAATGGAATTGGTATTTGTTTCCTGTCATCTAAGGAATGAATTGTGCTTAAATTTGATATCAGGGGCAAGGATTTAACTAGATTTAAGATAGAGCTTGATTAGTTCAGGTTGTGAATAGGATTATACAGTGTTGTCCTCTGCATTGCATAGGATTAGATTTGTGGTTTAAGGATGCCATATCCTACCCAAATTGCAATTTAGCCGCTCAAAATACAGATTTGACTATCTGAAATACATACTTCTTTTCCAAGATTGCTTTAACACTATGTGTATAAATACATTAGACTCCTCCCTGCCTAGCCGAGACATATAACTTGAGTCACCCACACATGCTTAGAGGTGCTTAATTTTCTAGATATCTGGACAGCCTCCTAAATTCTCTATCATTCCCAGGAGAAGCTTGAAAGGTGAGCTGAGGATTAGACCTATGACTGATCTCATGTGAGAGTGGTCATTACTATCCCTGATTGATAGAGCATTCAGTTGGTTATGCCATATTACAGCACTGAGAAATATGGCTGCAGCACTCAAGCTAGGTTATTTAAAACTGTGTCTTCTACCTTCTAGGGAAAAAAGGGCTAAGCAATAGAGGAAAAATGCCTTTCAAGTAACCAGGATGTTAAATTGGAAGGATGCATATCTATTTTTCTAATTAGTAGTTCTGGAGATGGTTTTAACTAATCACAATATATATTTTTTTAAAACGCTAATTTTTTTCTGAGATTAAGATGTGGAAATTGAGTTCTGCCACTTGCAGCTAATATCTCAATTTCTGGGTAAGATTTGGCTTCCTTATTTGCTTGCTCAGTTTCAAGTGCTTTCACACACAAGGTTCTGTGGCTTAATGCTTTTGATTACTGCAGTGAGGGAGGCATGAATTCATTCCTCCTCTTAATCTGGCTTCCGTCCTTTAATCAGTGTTTCCATTTCTTGAGTGAATGCTCCAAACAGCAGGCTGTTGTCAGGAGGCAAGAACCATCCTTCCTTTGGTGCCTATACTTCACAGAGAGTAGCTAGAGTTAATCTAAACTACATGGAGGCTTTTTAGATTTACAGTTGTTTCCATACATCCTTGGTAGAAAAAAAAAATAAAAACAATGTAAATGGACTGGACTGCTCTTTATAGGCACCTGTGATTTCTGTACATTCTGTGGAAATGCAGATGTTTATCTATGTACGGTGATTTCCCACTGCTGTCCTCAGAGACTGCTGAAGTGACTATGTTGCTGTCTTCCCAGCCATGCTCATTTCCTCACTTTTTCTATACTTGAAACCAACATTTTGATGATGGCACCGATATTTGATAATTTGACTTTTATATGGTTTTATTCCAATACTGTGTCCTAGATTCTCTGAATATCTACAGTTAAAATAACTTAAATGGAGAAGGAATTACTGAAAGAAGTTATTGGGTTCCTTGGTCACCTACCTCTGAGGCAAATCGGTTTCTTTATTACTTGATAATTATATGTACTAGTTCAAAGTCTGACAATTCCAAGCTATCCTTTCAGAGCTCTCTGTAGAGACAGCTAGAGATAATCTCATTTCTCCATCCCTGTTCAATCACTATCTACCCTTTGCTAAATACTTGTAAGAGAGAAGGAGCCAACTTTATTAACTCCCTTACTAGGGTCAGCCCTTCCCCATGGCTGGCCAGGCTAATCTTTTTTGCTGTATTGTACAGAATCAACATACCTTCTTTTCCTTTTCATATGTAGTCCCTTCACGCCCTCAAAGGAGCCAGCAGAGATCTATGTTTACTCTGTGTTTCCCTTATCACAGAATGTATTATGATTGTCACATGTAATGGTCCTGAGGGTCCCGGAAGACGAAGCACACCTTATTTTCCTTGATAAATATGTACACGTAGGGTTTTTTGGTCACAGTGATTTAATGATGTTGCTATAAGCCTTGTAGATGTACCTTTGTGGTCTCTTTATTGAGAAGTCTGATGTAAGGGGAATGCACAACTGAAAACAGTCTTCTAACCCCATGAACATACATTCCTTGACAAAGCTTCCAAATATTAATAGTTTGTCTCTGCTTGTAACTGAGGTGGCATCTCCACTACAGTTTAGTGACTGTAGTTTTCATTCCCATGGGTTTTATACTATGTTCTTATTTCATGTTTGTTCCTCCAGTTATTTAAGCTAGTAGCTTTAAATAATTGTTATTTGAAGCATAGCACAAAAGCAAGTTATTTTAAAAATCAAGTTTCCAAACCTGGGGTCAAGAAAAGGAGATAAATTGTCTGTTTGTCTATGATTTCTGCTTCATCCCAATAATTTCAAAACTGCTGTCTGATTCAAGCCAAATTTCATAGCTGAACAAATATTTGAAAGATCATTAAACTCCTGCATATATGAAAATGTATGTCTTTGCAAATGTTATGGGCAATGGAAAGGTGACAGTGTTACTTTACACGTAAATAGATACAGGAAACCAGAGAGGAAGGGCATCTTGCAGATATCCCAATTATGGGAACAGCTTTACTTAAAGCTCACAATCAACCATGACACAAAAGCCTTGAGAAAACTAGCTTTAATTAGTTCCAGTGTTCACAAAAAAAACAGTTTTCTCTGCAATATTTATTCCTTTCCTGGCAAGAATATTTGTCAAACCCAGACATGTACAGTGAAAATAAATTGTGGCTAGAATTAATTCTAGTATTTAAATTTAGGGAAAAAATACTTATGTAAGTATGAGATCTTAAATGCTGCTTATGAAATTATGAGGTAATCTAATTTTATCTGGAATGTAAGTTTTTCCTAATGATATCTTTTAAGGTGCTTAAATTATGGTTTGCAGAAATTATGAAACAATAGAAATAATTTATTAAAAATTAACAAGTTTTAAAACTTTTGTGCAGGTAATCCCTACTAGCTATATAAATTTGCTAAATGAGTACTGATTCTTTTATAGGCCAAAGGATGCAGCCTTATTTATCTTTCATCCGAGTGTTATAACAGAAAGGCAAATAGTGTCACATTTCTAGTTAATGAATATTGGCATGAGCAGTTTCTTTGATTTTCTGTAAAAGAAGTATGGAAAAAGAAGTTTGGAAGACGTATAAATCAGGCTAATAGACTTCTAAATGTGGTCCTGCAAAGAATCTCATTTAACTTTAGAATAGCTACTTAAAGGACCAAGAATTTGAGAGTCTGGACCCCAGACCTCAACCTTCAAAGGATATGCGAACTAGGAACTTTTAGGAAAAAAAAAAAACCCACGCTGAACTTGCAAAATTGAATGTATACAGGTGCGAGTTTGCAGTAGGTGACAGCAATAAATAATGGTATAACTGAAAGAATTCATAGAAACTCAGAATGGTTTGGGTTGGAAGGGTCCTTAAAGATTACCTAGTCCTAACCCCCCTGCCATGGACAGGGACACCTTCCACAAGACCACGTTGCTTAAAGCCCTGTCCAACCTGGCCTTGAACATTTCCGATGAAAGGGCATCCACAGCTTCTCTCTGTAACATGTTCTAGTGTCTCACCACCCTCACAGTACTGTCTTTCATAGAATCATAGAATATTTTGGGTTGGAAGGGATCTATAAAGGTCATCTACTCCAACCTTCCTGCAATGAGCAGGGAAATCTTCAACTAGATCAGGTTGCTCAGAGCCCCGTCTAACCTGACCTTGAATGTTTCCAGGGATGGGGCATCTACCGCCTCTCTGGGCAGCCTGTTCCATTTGTCCCTTGTCCTGTCACTACAGGCTCTGGTAAAAAATACTTCTCTGTCCTTCTTATAAGCCCTTTTACATATTGAAAGGTCGCAATAAGGTCTCTCTGGAGCCTTCTCTTATCCGGGCTGAACAACTCCAACGCTCTCAGCTTGTCTCCATAGGAGTGGTGCTCCAGCCCTCTGTTCATCTTTGTGACTCTCCTGTGGACTTGCTCCAGCAGGGCCATGTCCTTCTTATTGTCCTGGTTTGAGGTAGCCTAAACCATGATGCTTATGTTGGGGGTTTCAGAGCTGCACACAGTACTCCAGGTGGGGTCTCACCAGAGTGGAGTAGAGGGGGAGAATCACTTCCCGTGACCTGCTGGCCACTCTTCTTTTGATGCAGCCCAGGATGTGGTTGGTTTTCTGAGCTGAGAGCACACGTCGCTGGGTGAACACCATCCTGACATTTAGACTTGTTTAAGTATGGTCATGTAACAAAAATGCATCCAGTGCTGTTTTCACTTTCGGGTACCACATTGCTAGAATAATGCTGATAAATTAGATGGTACCTGAGTGGGAGTAATAAACCTTACTGAAATTAGTGACGCTTTTTTTTTCTTCCTAAATAAGAACAAAAGTGTATAACTTGATAGAATTGCTAGCAAAGAAGGTGTACGACATCTGTAAATACCTGAAGGTTGCAAACAACAAGAATTAAGAACTAATATGTGTAATCTGAAAGTATTAGGGGAACAAAACCAAGAGGGCAGGAGGGACAATTGGTACGTTTTTCTGTGTATGAGATGCAGTTGGTTGTAGAAGAGTATACATGTGAAATTACCGGAAACTCCCTACCTAAAATGATGAAAATTGAACGGGTAAAATACTGGAAAAATTCTTGTCCCAAACAACACTGCACTGGATAGGAAACAGTCATATCTGAGTCCTCCAATCTTTACTTAACCAATCTTTTATTTACTTCAGTGGGGTTTTTTGACATTATAGTGAATGAATGATGAAATGATCAGTTTCTAGCCTTCAACAATATAAATCATCAGTGTTTCTGGATTGTTGAATATTTAATAACATTTCTGTTCAAAAGT